ACTAAACTTCCGTCATGTCGGTTGTCTTTGTTGTGACGTTCTGGCTTCTCACTTGGGTTTTGCACCACTATTTCTCCTCACAGACATGCGAGGATTCATGACTGCGCATGGGCAGCCAGACCAGCCGCGGTCTGCTCGCTATATCCTGAAGGACTACGTCAGCGTAAGTGGGCCCGGCTCCTTGTTGCTCTGGAGTAAACAGGCCTTCGTCCTCATGGTGTGCTTTTAGATGCCGGCAACCTGTTGAGTTAGAGAGGAGATACTTCTCACTGAGGTGGTGGTGTCATCGGTGAGAGGCAGCATTGGCAAGGTTTGAGCGGCTCTTCTGGGGGAGGGGACCCGCCGCCTTGGCCGGGCATTCTTGATCCAGGGGAGCTAGCATCGTCTGAACCCTACATGTAACCAACAGCGTAACGCGAGGGAGAGGGCTCTACGCATGTCCTCAGTGAAAGTGAGAAAATGTGTGCCTCTGGTTTTTCCATCTCCCGAAGCCCTTGCTGGTTCCTGTGACAGCTGTGTCCCCGCCCTCCCTGCAGCGTAGCTGGTCATCTGCCCTTCTCCCTGCGCTTCCCCTCGTGACAACAGCACTCCCAGCGAACCCAGCTGAGGGCAGTGCAAAATGTTCTCCGTGTTGTCACCTCGTTAAAAATACACAAGTCCATGAGGTGGTCATTCTCGTATTACAAATGAACACATGCTAAGTTTGGGGTTTTCCTTATCAGTAAAATAGGAATTAATAGTACCTATCTCATGAGATTGTTATGGGAAATAAATGAGAAAAATCTATGTATGTGGAGACACACACACCCCTAAGCTCAGTGCCTGATGCATAATTAACCCCCAATAGTTGTTAAGTATTAAGCTTAATTCTTTTCACAAACAAGCCTTCCGGGTCTCCAGTAATAACTGGTTATGAGGATTTGGCTTTGTTCCCCCTCCTCAGTGCCACATCAGGAGAGCTCTGGGAAGCACAGGAGTCAAATTGGGCAGCACACTCTCTTGCCTTCAGTTCAGGAAGAAAGAAGTTAATGGAATATTTGTATGGATAAATTATTTATTCATTTACCACTTGTAAAACCATGGAAGATGAGAAGATGAGTTAAAACCAACCACAGTTTATAGAGCGCTTACAGCAGGAAGCAGAAAATTTGTGCCCAGTGAGCAACCACGGCCAGCCCAACATCCCCATAGTATCATCCTGCTGTCTAGTTGTGTCCTGGTTTTTGTTTTGGAAAATATTTATCCTAAGTACAGTCATGTCAGCGTACTGAAGGACACTTTAGTAGAAATGCAAACAAGGTAAAAAGCACAGAGGAGAAAGATTTCTTTCTGGTGTGGGGGCTGTGGGCCGGCGAGGCCTCCCGAACACATTAAGGAGCACAGTCGGTGTCTTCGTTAGGGCTCTCCAGTTGTAGGTGACAGAACTCCGCTCAGCTCACATCAGAAAGCAGGAAGCTTGTCAGGGCGCCTGGCGGAGAGGTCTTCTCGGAGGACTTTTTCTTCTCGATAACACACATGGCACCTGTGATGTGCTGTTCCGCTTCTTGTTGGCTTCGTAGGGTCAACTTCTGTACTGTCATCCTCCTCCTGGAAGAGACCCTGTGACCTTTCAGCAGCAACACCAGCGACTCCTAGAGAGCCAAACAAACGGTGGCAAACTGAAAATACATCCAGGCAGAAATAAAAAAGCAACACAGATTGAAAATATAGTTGATAAAACTTTTTTTCATCAAGTAAGTTTTAAAGTTTTCCCTTACCCTCTGATCCAACACATTTTATATAGCAGTTTTGTTGAAATACCCCTTCACATAGCATAAAATTCACCCTTTTAAAGTGCAGTTCAATAATTTGTAGTATATTCAGAGTTGTGCAACTATCACCATAATTTTAGAACATTTTTTCACTCTAGAAAGAAACATTGTAGCCATTAGCAGTGACTCACTATTCCCCTCTTCCCCCCAACCCCCGCCAACCACTCGTCTACTTTGTCCTGGATAGATTGGCCTGTCCCGGACGTTTCCTATAAATAGAATTGCCCACTCTGTGGCCTTTGGTGACTGGCTTCTTTAACTTGGCATCGTGACTTCAAGGTTCATCCATGTATTATCCACACTTTTTTTTATTGCCAAATAGTATTCCATTGAATGGATAGACCACATTTTGTTTATTTATCAGTAGGTGGAATTTAGTTGTTCTTGGAGTTCTCCATAAATAATCCTGTGCTCACACCTCAAATAATGCTATCTTACTTCCTAGGAAAATGTGAGAGCTTTAACCAAAGGAGTGCAGGCTGTGATGGGCTACAAGCCTGGGAGTGGCATGGTGACCGCAGCTACTGTGAGCGCTGAGAGCAGGGCTGGGAAGGCCTGGAAAAAACATGGCAACAGAAATAAAAAAGAGAAAAGTCGTCGACTGTATAAGCACCTGGATACATGAACTTGGGCTGCAACAGAAATGGCTTCTGCGCTGTGCATCTGGAATAGAACAGGAGCTGCTCTGGCCTGTGATTGCATAGAATGGACGCTGCTCTCGTGGCACGCAGCCACACCAAACACCAGTATCCAGACAGGGGGGCTCCTTGGAGCAGCGACTCAACACAGTCATCTTGGAGCCCCAGAAACCTCGTCCTGTAGAAGGCTGAACCTAAGATGAGGGAACAAATGGTTGTATGTGTGTGTGAACAAATACGCAGATGCATACTAATTTGTAAGTTGGAGTTTGGGTTTTTTTTTTTAAAGATACTAAAATTAAATTGCCACTGACAGATGTTTTACTGGTTTATGTAGATACATTGCCATTTGGACATTTCACGTTCTTTAAACAGTTTGAGTTTTAGATGGCTTCTTTAGAGAACATTAGTTACGTTAATGACTCTCAGCCTCACATATACCCAGTACACCCCTGGTATGGCAGAAGGCATATCAGATCTTGCAATGGGGGACTGGCGTGTGCAGTGTTCAAAAGCTTCTGGAGAGCACGGCCTTCTTGGAAAATCACCATCAACATGAGCCGCTATTACAGAGGGAAGCATGCGGTCTTCTGTAGCTAACTACAGGGATGAGAAAATGGGGAGATAATCAGCTAGTTTTTGTTTTAGGCATAGGGATCCCTGATCTCCTTGGTACTTACAACCATCAAGAATGACAAAGGCAGTTTACCTTTTATAGCGCCATTGTTTGTAATAAATACACAGTGGCTATTTTAGCCTCTCACTTTACTTTTTTTTTTTTTTAAAGATTTTATTTATCTGAGACAGAGAGAGCACATGAGAGGGGGGAGGGTCAGAGGGAGGAGAAGCAGACTCCCTGCCGAGCAGGGAGCCCGATGCGGGACTCGATCCTGGGACTCCAGGATCACGACCTGAGCCGAAGGCAGTCGCTTAACCAACTGAGCCACCCAGGCGCCCCCCTCTCACTTTACTTTTGTCCCCCTTTTTCTGTAAGCCTCATTATTCCCTTAACTCAGTTCCTTACCTTGTTTTGTGTGATAGATATTTTTGGAAATCTAATGGAAGTTATGGATGCTTTCTCCAGAAAAATGCACATTCCCATAAGAAACACAGACCCTCAAAGTTCATCTATGAATTCACAGTTAAGCCTTGCCCTATGTGGCCATGATAAATTTAAGATATATTTGAAAATGTTTTCCACCTGGAGAATAAAAAAAGTACACTTGTTCATTTAACAAACCCCACCTCCTGTGTGGCGGGAAAGGGCACTGGAAAATGGCCACAGCAGGAGTAGGGCCTGAAGCAGGAAGGACATTAGCAGGAGCCGCCACATGGGGCCTTTGAGCGTGTGGGGAGGATTCTGGATGTTTTCTCTAAAGTACTGGATAAACCAAGGAAGGGTTTATAAATAGGTAAGGGGTTAGGGTTCTAATTCTTTAAATACTGAGTGAAAGGTTACTCCAGACCAAGGCTGAGGCAAATTGAGAGGAGGCAAAGCTAAGGAGGTTCTAAAATGGTGTTGATCCCATCTGCAACAATCTACTTCTAGTCATTCCCTTTTATCTGAGAAAAATGAGACCGTCTCGGTAAAAAAAAAGCTCATTGGTAGAGGAACAGCATTGGCATGTTAAAATATACTTTGTTCCATTTACTGAAGAACAGGCACAGTTGTGTGGGAGAAACTTCCATACTGAATGAACAAAGCATGTACTGATTTAGAATAAGTTTTGCTTTAATGATAGTGTAATAGCTAAAACATGAGACTTTACAGAAAAAGTAGGTACATATGTTTCCATGCTCTTGATTATTTTTGTAACAGTTTTATGGAGATTCATATACCATGCAAAATCACCAATTTAAAGTATACAGTGCAATGGTTCTTAGTATATTCAGAGTTGTGTAACTATCACTGTAATCAATTCTACATTATTGTCACAAAAAGAGGCCCAGGACCCTTTAGCTATTGGCTCCCAATCCTCTCACCCCCCTAGCCCCAAGCAACCACTAATCTGCTTTATATATGGACTTGCCTCTTCTGTACATTCAAATAAATGGAATCATAAGCTGTGTGACCTGTGACTGGCTTTCACTTAGCCTGACGTCTTCAAGGTTCATGTATTCTAACATCTCTCCATACTTCATTGCTTTTTATTACCAAATAATACATTCCATCGAATGTATATACCACATTTTGTTTATTTCATTTATCTGTTAAAAGACATTTGGGTTTCCAGGGGCACCTGGGTGGCTCAGTCAGTTAAACATCTGACTTCAGCTCAGCTCAGCTCATGATCCTGGGGTCCTGGGG